GACAACGCCTTTGCTGCAGGCCGGCTGTTCTTATTCTGCTTCGTCTTCCTCGGCTTCCTTCACCCTGCCTGCGCCCTTGCCAGGCAGGGTGAAGAGTGGGACACGTTGAGTGCGGGAAGCATAACCACATCATTGCTCTGGATCATATTTTGGCAGTGCCATGTGTGTTACACAGACCATGACAAGGAAAAATACTGGTGTGGTAACGAGTCCTTCGAAGTGGAGCTGTTTTAGATCAAGTACAGTCCATCCAGAAGGCGCCGTTGCGTTGAGGTACGGTTAAACTTTACTGTATTGAGCTGGAAGCCACCTTCGTCAACCTAAGGGTCGATCTTCGGGACCTGAACAAAGTTAATCACACCGGCCATACCACTGTCCCTCACCTCTGCAGCGCTCGCTTGCTCAAATACAAACTGTCAATAACATTTCACATGTACCGCGTGTAAAACACGTACCTGTGCCTCATACCCACCCGTGGTATACTGGTGTGTGCCACACGTGTCCGGTGGAAAGGATTTGATTACGCACGTGATGTGATTGTCGCATATTTCCACATTATGTTGTACCAACTGGCCCAGCATTTCACTTTATCGTCACATTGTTTCTGTCTTGACCAGCGATTCGTGGATAGATAGATAGATAGATAGATAGATAGATAGATAGATAGATAGATAGATAGATAGATAGATAGATAGATAGATAGATAGATAGACAGATAGATAGATAGATAGATAGATAGATAGATAGATAGATAGATAGATAGATAGATAGATAGATAGATAGATAGATAGATAGATAGATAGATAGATAGATAGAATAGATAGATAGATAGATAGAGATAGATAGATAGATAGATAGATAGATAGATAGATAGATAGATAGATAGATAGATAGATAGATAGATAGATAGATAGATAGATAGATAGATAGATAGATAGATAGATAGATAGATAGATAGATAGATAGATGCTAAAGGTACCTGAAGTGTGCAAAAAAATGCTTCGCATTTCATAAAGGCCATGCGAGCATGGGACGTGGCTGGGAGACAAAAATCTTTGCTCCATCCTTTCTCCCAAGACGACTCAAAGGTGAAATTTATGTTCTTATTTTCTTTATCAATGTCTTGATCGGATCTCACCTCCCCCTCCAACTCCCTTCAGAGTCTTCTACACCTGACGGGGTTTGTCGCGGCCTCAGCGGTCAGCTGACTTTTGTCCAAACTACCTTTGTCTTGGGGTGACGCTATCCGGTGACTTTACGTTGCGTGGCACCTCAATTACATCTCGATAACTTCGCAAGCTATCATGGACCGTCACTTCGTGATGAACACACCAGGAGGTGTGATCAGGTGAGAATGAGTTTTCGCATCACGCGGGTATAGGTCACGGACGTGGGACGCCGACACGGGACGCCGACTGTCGCCAATGTCATCGATGCTCTGATTTTGTGTTTGATGGGTCGCCTATGACTTTAATTCCAACACGACCATTGCAGCCGCAAAAGATATGTTTAGCTGGTTCAAGACACTTGACGTCCTCGTGTGCGGGCACCAACATGTTGATAAATGCGATGGCCATGTTAAAGGACAAAGCGAAAAGAACAAAAATACCACAAAATACAACCTGCCTCACGGAACACGCAATAGCAGGGCTACGTCATTGTTCTTTGAGCGCGTTTTACTGCATCACAGCGGAAACAGCAGGTGGCCCGCTGCTGCGACAATGCTGCAGAATCTCATCTCACGCTGTTGCGGTCCTTTCCCGAGCATTGCCAAACGAGCTGGATAAGCGATAAGAGCCTTGAATGTTGTTCTAGTAAGCGAAAGTAATGCAGCTTCGGGCGGTGCGCATGGCATCTGCGCAGCTGCACGCTTAACAATAAACGGAGTAGGTACCTCAACCATGGCGGAATATGCGTCTTTTTTTTTTCTCAAAGCGCCTTGTCTTAGCCGCTGTACACTGTGATCCAGCGCTTGTCTACCGGCCATGACTGCCTATCTTGCTTAGCAATAGGTGAAGCCAAATGCGAACTTGCTCAATGAAATTCTATCTGTGTCACACGGTCACATTTGAAAGACCATCTCGGTGGCAGCTGTCGAAATGCCGCAGCTCCATCGACTCGATAAAGTTTTGACCCGGCTGCACGGCAGTTTTCCACGGCCGTTGAGGGGTTCTCGTGTTTCTCGCAAAAACTGAGTTCAGCGCTTCAATATTTTCTTATTTTCGACTTCTTATTATCGTAAGTAAATTAATGTAAATACACTTATGACGCGGCAGAACTGTGGCCATATCACCACTTGTCAACGATGGCACGTGTGCGGAGTTCCCGTTTCCGTCGCCCAGCAGTCCCCAAGTTTTCAATGAAGGTGCTCTGTTGATCCGATCAACCATTGACTATGTGGCCTTCGAAATCGCCTATGTAGCAGCTTGTGCGTGACAATGGAGTGTATAGACCATCGTTTCAATAGCCTTCCAACCGGCTGTGTGGCACGGGCATCACTCTGTTCGCGACTGAACTAAAAAGAAAGCTACTACAATATAATCAAAGTGGCTTTCACTGCAATCTCGTGCATCCAGTCCGCAATAAATAACAGTATCGCGAAATTAGCCGAGAGGTTACTTCTTTACGAAAGCAGGCATGTTCAATAGTATTAGGTGAGGTAATGTCAGCACGTCGTCGACTCTGTTGCATGCGATACGTCTACGTTGAAAAAAAAAATGGGTCTTTCATTTACTAAGCGTGCTCCAGACGACTCTAGAGGAAGTTTAAAGGTATGTTGACGCACTCCATCACAGCACAACCAAATGCGTATTGCGGAGTAGTGAGTGAAGTAATTGTCACACTATTTCTTGTGTTCTTTTAAGTGACTTTATCATGAAACATTATTTAACTAACCTCAATAGCAACGAAGGTGTGGAAAGTAGATAGTTGTAGATCTGTTCGAAGAACATCAAATCAGGTGATTTCTAACTTTCTATCGATTAATTCTAACTTTACTACTCAGTGAAGGTGCCCAAAAAATACTAGAAAAAAAACCACGTCAACAAGTTCGCTAGTGTCCTGTAATGGCAGTTCTCTCGAACGTTTGGTGTTCGAATGATTACCTTTATGACGGTGGTTAGGGGCAATGATAAGGAGACAGAGAAGTTAGTGCTTGTGCTGTCGTAACCAACAAGTTCATCATCGCACAGCGGTAGCCATATTGCTGCTGCCTTGTCGCCCTTTCAGCTGTAGCGTACATGACGAAATTCTATTGTGGTATGCAGGTGGCCATTTAGAAAGTAGAGAATTATACCGCGCAGGTGGGCGTGCCACCTCGTATTTTTTATGTGGAGCGTTTCTATGTGGAGCGCCAAAAGTGCTTACTGCAAGCACTTTTGGCGTCTATCTATCTATCTATCTATCTATCTATCTATCTATCTATCTATCTATCTATCTATCTATCTATCTATCTATCTGTCTAGCCGCTTACATCTGGGTGCTCTCGTGATCACCCCCTCAGCAATCAGTATGGGAGGGTAAGATGGTTTGATAAATATGACGCGCTCGTCAAGACATAAATAATGTCTCAATCCTGTTGTGTATACGTCATCAAGCACTTTTTCCCTGACAATGGCACATATGTATCCTCGGGCGGGTATGTGCCAGTGATATGCGGGTAAGCGCCACAGTTCACTGACACTTAACTTAGTATCTACCTGGGAACGGCGAGGACACACATGGGTAATTTTAATGCATAAGCGTTAAAAAAAAGCTGACGTCGGCAGCGTTGACCAAACAAATGCAAAGAATAAATGGTTCAAGCAGAGATCGAGCCCAAGCACACCACGTCACAATTAGATAATCTACCACAGAGCTGCACCAGGTCTCGGAACTACTTTTCAAACAGAATGTACGAACAGCGCAACATAGTAGTAGTTACTAGGTTGCACTGTTCCTATATTTAGTTATGTTCTAGAAACTTGCCCAAGTTTCCACGCTTCAAAACTTTTAAAACGGACTCTAATGTTCATGAAACGTCAAGTGAGGTTGCAGTGCGGGCTATTTAGTTCTATAAACATTACATATGTACACCCATTGTACAGCCGTCACGTCTAGTTAACACCAACTGTAGCTAGGTGTTATCCGCTGAAGTTTATTTATTCATCAGTGTCCATTGCTATCATCCTCGTGAGCACAAGCGCTTCATGTCAACCTATGCTTCTGCAGTTACTAATTAACATGCTACTGCTGGCACCATTACGCCGCTGTGAAAAACTGCTTATATAAACGTCTGCAATTGTTCACCTTATGTCTGGGCCTGCAACGCTGGTACATAAATTTGGCACCATTGAATAAAGTGTTTATAAATAAAAAAAGAACCACATGGTCATCTTCGCTCCGTATGCTTCACATAACATCGGTTGCTAAGGTGCGTGGGATCTGCGAAATACTTTGTTTAGTATTAGGGGTTATTTGTAAAATACACAAATACTTTATAAAAAGAGGGTTGCAAACTGTACGGTGCAACGTTTTGAAAACAACTCTACGACTTCTGGATCGGTGCTTTTGACACAGCTTCTTTTTTTAGATGGTTTTTAATCTTGGCCACTTAACTAAGAAAGGAAAACAAAAACATTGTGCAATTGAGTCACTTGCACGTCTTATTCTGCATTACTAGCCAATCAAAATAAGCATGATTAGCCTACAGCAATTTTTTGGAAAACTGTGTATTCGAAATTTACAACAATGCCTTCGTCTTAGTGGTCTTAGCAGGAGAATTTCAAGAGGGTCATGACAGCGCTAGTCTTAGTTGGACAAGACCGCATCACATTTACGCCACAGCTCCAACTACACGCACAAGTGTGCGACATTATTAAGCAACCATCTGTCAAATTAACAAAATTCTTAGCTTTTCAAAGCTGTCAATCTGAAGTAAACTGCAATACAACTTCGAAAAAAATGTGTAGATGTTTCTTCTAAAAGTTCATTACGTTGTGAGCGAGAAAAAAGAGCAGATGTGATGGAAGCAGCCGATGTTAGCGGAATTGTATTCATGTATATCACACAAGATGTCTACCTCCGAACCACATTCGCTAGCGCTTGGTCAACGACATAGTGTAGAGGATGGTCCTCCTTGAAAAAGGGCAGAGATCATGGAGTCTGATGCATATCACTGCACAAACTCTGCTCCGCTTAGTTTTGGACTTACTTGGGCTACGCGACGAAAGCAGCCAGTGGGTTGTATTTTGGTTCACTGATGCCAGCAACTATCGCTTGAACGGAGCGCACAGTACACAGTGAAAAAGTTTTTGGACGAAGTGAAATGCAGCCGTCCCCACTCGTGATCTACCCAATGCACTGAAAAAGAAGTACGCCGGGATGCCCATCAGCATTGTTCCACCAGTGGCGAGATAACTTGTGACCATACTCCTGCTCAAAAACGGTGCAACGACGAGGGTCAACAAGATGGCGAGGTTCGCAAATATGAGAAACGTTGGCACTTTTATCGCCCTCGACTTGCCAATGAGTGTCCGGCGTAGCTGGAACATGGCTAGGATCGTCATCAAGTTCATCACAGAAACGACTGCCATGAAGCCTTTGGCGAGGAATGCCATTGAGCCGGTAGCTATAAATACCAACGCCACGCACGTTCTGCAGCCTATGGAGATCACAGGAAGTGAAGTCTTCACCGAGATCAGAGCGAAGATTTCGGGTAGATGCTTGTTGCGAGCGGCAGCCATGCAAAGGCGTGTGTTGGTGAAGCAGCTGGAGCTCATTGTCCCGAAGGTGCAGACGCAGACAATGAGGGGCACCAGGATGTGACCGGTGGTGCCCCACGTGGCTCGTGCGAATGCTGCTGCTGTCGCCTCAGTTTCAGTCAGGCGTCCGGGATCCAAGACAATGAAGTACGCCATGTTTGTCAAGACGTGCAGCGCGGTTATAAGGGAGAGACCACCCAATAGGGCCCTTGGGATAGTTCGGCAAGGGTCCGACATCTCTTCGGCCATGCAGGCGATCGGAGTGCTGCAATAATTCCAAAGTTAAAAGACGCAGTTGTTCAGCGCAAAAATTTATTGCATACCACTGAGCAGGTCAAAGGAAACCAGCGACCTAATTCACAAAACATTTCTTTCGTAAAGGCACTCTGCCCTTGGCTGGTCGGCTTTGATAACTATGTGCTGTTCATCCTGATTGCCTCAAATTTTATTTTACAAACGTTGTCAGTGTAAGACGCTTTTGTGAATACAAGTTTAGTACGTCATGCAAGATGCTTTGCGTTTACATTCTTTTTTCTATGACGCTGGAATTTTTAAATTACTCTCCCAAACTTCCCACTTAAAACTGAAAAATAAGACACACATTTGCTTTTTTGTGCCGCTCGTTGTTCTTTTTTTTCGGTAGGAATACTGCTGATTATTCATTCACAGCATTTTGCTCTGCCTGCGAACGTGTCAGTTACTCTGAATAAAAAGGCTGTAACAATGACATTCTGGCGCAGGAACGACCCGCAGCACCCATTTCCATGTTAAACTTTTACTGACATTTTTTATCAGTGTTTTCTATACGGTTATCGGAATTTTGAAAGATTAGCGTTGCTCTACTAAAACTGACTTTGCCATCAACTTTTTCTGAACTACTGCCTCTCAAAACTTAGTGACATAAAATGCTTTAGAGTTCTTATTACTCTTATGTATGTGCACGCAGACTAGCAGTTTAAACATTTATCAATTAGTATAAAGTTTGCCTGAGCTTCTGCGAAAAACAGTGTATATAAATGAGCACAGATTATACTAAACACGTGCATATTTGTATTAGGATTATTATAACACAAACATTAAACGTGTATTACTAGTTTGTACTATTTGTAATAATAATAATAATAATAATAATAATAATAATAATAATAATAATAATGTAGTGGAGCATACGCACTAACGTGTATGCGCCTTCCAAAGAGAAGGAAAAACCCCGTGCTCTGATTGCACGAGAACCTGGGCCGCCTTTTGCCAGACTTGTCGTACGGCCATTTTTCGTTGCGACATCGTTGCGACTTCTCCGGTTCAATAAACGTCATCACATTTGGTGGAGGCTGCTGAGATCCCCAAGCAGACCTGGAGCTCCGCTCTCGCAAGTTGCCCGAGAGACCACTGCAAAACATGACTGACGCAGTCGCCAACCAGCCCGTCCCAGCCCAGCCAGCACCATCGGCTGCCCCGTCTACCTGCCCCGGCGCTACTCGCCAACGGGACCCACCAATCTTCAGCGGCAGTGGCGAGCAAGACGTCGAGGACTGGCTCTCCTTGTACGAACGCGTAAGCGCCAGTAACAAGTGGGACAACGACTCTAAGCTCGCCTACGTTATATTTTACTTGGCAGACGTAGCTAAACTTTGGTTTACGAACCGCGAAACCGCCATCGCCAACTGGTCTTCCTTTAAGACACTCGTCACTGAAGCGTTCGGCCGACCAGAGGTCCGCAAGCTCCGCGCTGACCAGCGCCTGCGCCACCGAGCCCAGCAGCCTGGCGAGACGTTTACTAGTTACATAGAGGACGTGCTCGACCTCTGCAAGCGTGTGAATCCATCTATGCCCGAAGAAGAAAAAATTCGGCAGATTCTCAAGGGCATCGAGGATGGCGCATTCCAGATGTTGCTAGCGAAAAGCCCGAACACGGTGGCAATCTGCCAGAGCTTTGATGAATTGCGCCGTCAGCGTTCCATCGCCCGACAGAGTGTCCTACCGCCGGAATCGATCTCGGCAGTCACACTCACGAATGCCAACGTTTGCAAAGAAAGTCTATCCAACCAGATCAAAGACTTCATCAGGGAGGAAGTCGCCCGACAGCTCTCCCTGCTGCCGCATAGCGACGCGCCCACCGCAAGCCTGCCTACGACACTGCAGCAGGCCATACGCACGGAAATTTGTGATGTCCTCCCTACAATGCAGGCCCCTTACCCGTGCACTTCAGTAGCGCCTAATCTCTCAGCTGTCGGCTACGCACCACCTGCACCACCTTCACCTCTCAGCTACGCAGCTGTGGTCGCGCGGCCCCCACCGCATCCAGTCGCCTTATCAGCTCCACCTCCTCCGGCATCGCCTCCAGTTTACAGGCCCTCACCTCGCTTTTTCCATCGATCTAATGAGTGGCGCACTCAAGACAATCGTCCTATCTGCTTCGCCTGTGGCATCGCTGGCCACATTGCACGCTTCTGCCGCCGTCGCCCCACACCTGCAAACGCATACTTCGGAACTCCTACCTACGCGCCGCAGCAGGCCACCGCATCTGCATATGAACAGAGGCACTCAGACTCGGATCGCCGCCCATCGACTGCTCGTTTCCCATCCCCTCGTCGCCGGTCGCCATCGCCTATGCGTCGCCGACCATCTCCTGAGGAGGGAAACTAATCAGTGCAGTTCCGGAGGCAAGAACTGCAACTTGTGCGCAATTCCCAAGGCCTCCGTTTTCGCCGAAAAATGTTGTTGATGTCGATGTTGAGGGAGTCGCCACATTAGCGTTAATTGATACCGGGGCCGCCGTTTCTGTGATGGACGTCAAATTTTGTCGGAAACTGAAGAAAGTGACCACATCTCTCTGTGGCATGGGGCTGTCCACGGCTAGCGCGCAACGCATTCATCCCTCGGCTCTGTGTACGGCGCGCGTCGTCATCCAAGATGTTTTGTACGTCGTACAGTTTTTTGTTCTGCCATCTTGCTCTCATGACCTTATCCTCGGTTGGGATTTCTTATCAGGTCATGAAGCTATCATCGATTGTTCCCGTGCCGAAGTGTCCCTTGTGCCAACATATGAATTTCCACCACCCGACCGGTCTCCTCGGCTCTGCAAACTCATCGCTGACGACGACATCACCTTGCCCCCGGAAGCTTCGGTCCCTGTAAGCCTTTCATGTGTGGCGCAACCTGACGCCACGGTGGTCTTTACGCCATCTCCTGTTTTTACTGAACGCAAGGGCATCGTTCTCCCATTTGCCGTTCTTACAATTGCATCTGGTTTAACCGTAATGCTGGTTACCAACCACTGCAACTACCCCATCAGCTTACTTCGTGGTGAAACGTTGGGATATGTGCAACCTGTCGACCATATCGATGATTTTATTCCTCCCGACGAAACGCCATGTCACATTGCCGCAATAACTCATGCGTCTGAGCCATCAAGTTTGTCAGCCTTCGACAATGCTATTGACGCAGACCTTCCCCTCTCGCATCGCCGCCAACTTGTTGCTCTCCTTAACAAGTTTCGCTCTTCTTTCGACATTCAAGAACCTACTTTGGGACGCACCACGACTATCACTCATACTATTGACAGCGGCTCACATTTGCCTCTGCGACAGCGTCCTTACCGCGTTTCCGCCGAAGAGCGCCGCGTCATTACGGAGCAAGTAGACGACATGCTTAAACGTGGAGTGATACAGCCTTCTCAAAGCGCTTGGTCATCACCTGTCGTTCTGGTCAAGAAAAAAGATGGCACCGTTCGATTTTGCGTGGACTATCGCCGCTTAAACAAGATTACGAAGAAAGATGTCTACCCGCTACCACGAATAGACGATGCTCTTGACTGTTTACAAGGCGCCGAGTACTTTACATCCTTGGATCTGCGTTCTGGGTATTGGCAGGTGCCAATGGCTGAATGTGATCGCCCTAAAACAGCCTTTGTAACGCCAGATGGTCTATATGAGTTCAAAGTGATGCCATTTGGGCTCTGCAACGCACCTGCCACATTTGAGCGCATGATCGATACCATCTTGCGTGCCCATAAGTGGAAAACTTGCTTGTGTTACCTGGACGACATCGTAGTCTTTTCGTCTGATTTCCCGACACATCTTGTTCGCCTCCACGAGATTCTGACGTGTCTAACTTCTGCGGGCCTACAACTTAACTCCAAAAAGTGCCACTTCGCAGCACGAAAACTAACCATCTTGGGACATGTCATCACAAGAGACGGTGTTCTTCCGGATCCCGATAAGCTTCGGGCTGTCGCTGACTTCCCGTTGCCCACATCACTGAAAGCTCTAAGAAGTTTCGTCGGTCTCTGCTCGTACTTTCGTCGCTTTGTGCCCAACTTCGCGTCCATCATCGCACCTCTAACAAGTCTGCTCTCCAACAGCAAAGGTATATCTGCATGGTCACCTGCATGTGACGACGCATTTCGCCAGCTGCGCCGCCTGCTGACCTCACCACCCATTCTTCGTCACTACGACCCCGCTGCTGCCACAGAAATTCACACCGATGCAAGTGGCATCGGTCTTGGTGCAGTTTTGGCACAACGGAAAGGCACCCAACCCGAATACGTAGTCGCCTATGCAAGTCGCGCTCTCAAGAAGGCTGAGTTGAATTACTCCGTGACAGAGAAGGAGTGTTTGGCCATAATCTGGGCCTTGACGAAGTTTCGCCCGTACCTTTACGGCCGCCCTTTCGACGTGGTCACAGACCACCACGCTCTATGTTGGCTGTCCACATTGAAAGACCCGTCCGGACGCCTGGGACGTTGGGCACTTCGATTGCAAGAATACGACATCCGTGTAGTATATCGTTCCGGTCGCAAGCATGCAGATGCCGATGCACTTTCGCGATCGCCTTTGACCCCAGATGTGGCTTCTCTGTCACCACTTTTTACCACCCTGTCACCAATAGACACCACTGACATGCTTTCGGAGCAGCGTAAAGATCCATACCTTGCATTGTTACTCGACTACCTTACCGATCCGTCTGCTGTCCCTTCCACGAGAGCGCTACGCCGACAAGCAGCCCACTTTTCCGTGCGAGACAGCATTCTGTACCGCCGCAACTACATGCCTGGTGGTCGGAAGTGGCTCCTTGCTGTCCCAACTCATATGCGCTCTGACATCTGCATGAATTTCCATGCAGACCCTCAAAGTGCTCACGCAGGTGTCCTGAAAACCTATGAAAGGCTGCGCCAACGATATTACTGGCGAGGAATGTATCGCTTTGTGCAGAAATACGTTCAGTCTTGCACCACTTGCCAACAGAACAAGACACCTCCGCGGCACCTTACTGGCATGTTACACCCGCTCCCATGCCCGGCTCGCCCATTCGACCGCGTGGGTATCGATCTCTATGGCCCCCTCCCATATAGTCGCTCTGGAAACCGGTGGATTATTGTCGGCGTCGATCATCTGACACGCTACGCTGAGACAGCAGCTCTACCAGCAGCGACCGCCCACGAAGTTGCACTCTTCATTCTCCGCAGCTTCATTCTCCGCCATGGGGCTCCACGGGAATTACTCAGTGATAGGGGTCGAGTGTTCCTGTCGGAGGTCATCCAAGCTATTCTCGCTGAATGCAACATCATCCACCGGAAATCTACCGCATACCATCCACAGACGAATGGTCTCACTGAACGGTTCAACCGCACACTTGGCGACATGCTGAGGATGTACACCTCCTCCGACCACACTAACTGGGACGCTGTCTTGCCTTTTGTTACCTTCGCTTACAACACCGCGACGCAAGCGACTACCGGTTTTTCCCCGTTCTTTCTGTTGTACGGCCGCGAACCATCCCACCCACTCGACACCATACTCCCGTACCGCCCTGATGTATCGGAGTGCTCCCCGCTTTCGGAAGTCACCAGATACGCTGAAGACTGCCGTCAGTTGGCTCGGTCTATGACAAGTGAGGCTCAAGGTCTACAAAAAACCCGGCATGATGACGCTCATCACATAGCGCCTACGTTTCGTACTGGCTCCCTCGTGTGGCTTTGGGTGCCCCCGCACGTTCCTGGCCTGTCTTCCAAACTTCTGGCCCGGTACCATGGTCCATACCGTGTCATTGACGCAACCTCACCAGTGAATTACATCGTCGAGCCCCTAACACAATCGCCAGATTTGCGCCGTCGAGGACGCGAGACCGTACACGTCGACCGTCTCAAGCCCTACTACGACCCCCTCATTGTGCCTACTCCCTGAGTCGCCAGGATGGCTACTCTTCAACCCGGGGGGCATTGTAGTGGAGCATACGCACTAACGTGTATGCGCCTTCCAAAGAGAAGGAAAACCCCCTGCTCTGATTGCACGAGAACCTGGGCCGCCTTTTGCCAGACTTGTCGTACGGCCATTTTTCGTTGCGACATCGTTGCGACTTCTCCGGTTCAATAAACGTCATCACAATAATAATAATGCCTGTATGGCATCTGTGCTAGAACACAGAGGAGAAATATATATTCTCATACACCAAAAACGTGCACAGTAATGGTGTGGCAGTGTTGGGGCTCAGCTGCTAACGCAAGACTCTCAGCTTCTACCCCGGCTGTGGCACTCGCATTTACAGGACGGCAAAAGGCTTGAGGCCCTAATGTTCCCCGACATCAAGTTTCCGCCAAAGAACTCCGGATGGTGCAAATTTTTGGCGCCCTCCTCCATTATGGTGGCTAGAACTAGCCACCATACCTTCATGGCTTTTCTCACTCTTGTATCAGGGTGAAAGCACAGATGTTATGTACAGACCAAAGGCTGCACGCGGACGTTTTCATGTCTGTCGAGAACACTGATAGCTCAGTCTTATTTGTTGTATGAATTTTTGACATCAGCAAACGTCAGAAATCTCCGGCGGTGAATGCTGTTTTGAGAAGGCCTGTGCAGGGCTCTCGACGAGGTCTTGGGCTGTAGTCAATGCTTTCCCGCAGCATCCTCCCCCTCCCACTACCCTCCTTTGCAACGTTTGTATGAATTCGAAAGCGAACAGGCTTCGCGACACACGTAAAAGTGAAATTAAAGCAAAGACGGGCCACCCGCACCGTCATGTCTTAGATCTTTCTTCTTCCGGGGGTGAAAATAATACGTGAACTGTTCCTGAAATGCAATATCAGTTGTCCTGGACTGACATCATCTTCAACAGCATGCATACACAACACCCTGCACAATAAATAATGGCTGGGTGTGTCCGAGTTATAAAAGATATGACACTGGCATGAAAAGGGCACACAACTTCCCACTCTACCCCCTCTGTTAGGTTGGCGTGTGGTTGTGATGAAGGGATGTGTTTCTACTACCTTCCAGCACCGGTGAACATTGCCACAGCAAAGGCCTCCACCGCTCCTCTTGGCGTGGTTCGTCCGTTGAATGAGAACTTGTCGAAGGCGAGCGGCACTGCGTAAATTGTTTTTTTTATTTATTACACTTATTTATTTATTTGTTCATTTATTAATTTATTCGCACTACTGCTGACCTCCAGTGGAGTCTTGCCGGTTGCAATGGTGAATGACAATTGAAATTGCTAATAAAAACGGTAGCGTAAAATGTGAGAAGACAAAGTAGAGCATATAACATGAACAGAACTTGCTTAAAGAAAGAAGTAAACAAAAAAAAGGGGGGAACCCTGAATTTTCAGCTTTAGGAGTTGAACGCTATAGCGACATTCTGTTCTAAATGCGTATTTCAAATACTTATTCAATAAAATCTTTTCAAACTTACCATGCATCTACTACGTGGCCTTAAGGGTGTCGTAGCGTGTGTTTCACTTTTGTAGTGGTTGGCAGGCTTTAGACTATTAAAATATTAAGATAATCCCATGTCCTGACGCCCAATGCCAATGTACGCTTACACCACGTATTATTACGTCAATATTTCATGGTGTATTGTGTAGCATGTATACAAGACACGTATGTTTGCTAAGCATAAAAGTTACTTTGGCTGCATTTCTAAGTAGAGGTTGTTTCGACTGTGTTCACATACAGAGGGATGGCTGTGTGGTACAAGACCCGCTTACCACGCAAACAACTGGAATTCGATCCCCACTAAAACCAGGAAGGTTTTATTATTTACATTATTTGCATTTTTCTGGATTTCTTGGTCACGAAAAGGTGATGATTTTTCGCTCAATACCAACGATGCTGACGCCGAAACTTCTGTGAAACGAGCTCTTTAACGCTCGCGCGTTAAAAGGCAAAACGTACAATGCAAGTAACTTTGGATGAACAGCTGGCAAGCAATGTTTCGAATATATTCATACTGTCATTTTCAATAGTCAGTACATCTATGGGGCAATCCACTCAACATTTGTTTGTGGAAAGAAAGAATTGTCGAAAAAAATATGAGCCGACTGATATGGAGGAATTGAAAAGCTATGTTGCCCTCTTGTGTTATAACCTGTTGAAAAGTGCACCAAAATATACAGCGGTTGAGGTGTGCTTCAAATTTCCAACAAACCTTATTAAATAACTTAAGGCCAGCAGCCTCATGGTTGTCGTATTCTGCGCAATCAACAAATAAACGGTCAAATTTACATTATTACGATTATAATGGTTCATTATTAAAATGTAAATCACGATATGCCGTTTTATACGCAGTTACGTATGCCGCATTTCCTCGAATTTAAAGCTATTTTTTCCTAGAATTTTGCTGCCTTAAGTCAACCATCATGTTGGAATCACGGTCACGTAACAATGACGTAAATACGACATTCTCCGGATTCAAATAAAGTTTTGATCATCCTTATTATTATCACTCATTATACCTCAATACAAAGTTTCCGAACGATAAGGCAAAGTCACGAGTGCTGCTTCAGGGATGAATAGCTTTTGAGTGGGATTGTTTCTTTGTCCCTTGTGGCCGGAGTATGTTGATTGCAAGAAAATATTCTATCCTATGTGTACACATTCAACCAATCCCATGCGCTGAAAGTTTTTTTTTACGCTTTGAGGCTGTGTTGTGAGATTTCTTTATAAATTATTTTTCGCTACCTTCATGGTCTCCAAACATTGACGCCTAAGTGAACTTGTTGACAATGACACTATCTGCACAGTTTGGCTGGCTTTAGAGATTTCATGCAGCACGCAAAAAGGCCGCTGACAGTAGATATCTTACTTCGTACTTAGTAAGCAACTCTTAGAAAGTTTACACACCAAGTAAAACAAATGCTCTCTTTTCATGTAGCTATCTACAAATTAGCAATCGCAAGCAACACTTTGATGTTGACGCCTATCTGAAGCTTCATGTAATGTCCGTATTTTACCTAATGCACAATAATAGCACAAATAAAAGAAATAATACAAAAAGTTACCAAACTAGTTTTGAAAAGAGCAAATGAATTGTTGCTATTTAGTGGCTGTCTGAATTTCTTCTCTTAATTATGCTTGAGCCGGAATAGACAGACTTCCCCCGTAATCTCGACTTGAACAACAACACAATTGCCATGTCACACTTTTCTCATGACACCTCCTAGCAGTGTAACTACATCAGACAATATGCTGCTACAATGTGCGAGAAAACTGGCCAGCTTTTAATGTGCTTTCATGTGCTGATTCAATCTCACTGGACTACCAGCCTAACTTATGTCATTCTTATTTGTTGCTATCGCACTCACGGCTTCAACCGTGAGGCGAGACTGTGACTTTGTCTTTCTTCTAATGCAACTTTGATTTTTATTGCTGTTCCCATGTGCTTTGTAGCGCAAATCCGACTACGTACCATGCAATGTCGAAACATCGAAAGAGCATAAAACTGATATTTGTTTACCTCGGAAGGCCCAGATGAAGCCAGTTGCAATTATTGCCAGTAGAACGCCAAGTCTCACAATAAATAAATAGTCCTGCAATTTCATCGATGCCCGCAGCGAAAAAATGTTGACAGCCGCGGACAGTTCTGAAAAAAAAATTGCTGCGGTTTCACAAATGGCTGCTAGCACGTACTACCGCTGAAACACGTGAAGCTAAAGGACAGAGCTTGGCTTTTTCGAGCATTGCTGCCCCCTGTATTTCGTTACAATGTGCAATAAGACGTTCAGATGATAAAAAGCTAATTAAATTACAATACATTATATTAACGCAGTGAATGACGCATTATATTAACACATTATAGTAGCTCCTTGAATGAACTTCTTCAAAAGAAAGAACGAACGGGAACAGGTGGAAACTTTCAATTAGTTTTTCTTTTTTTTTTTGTCTCCCTTCAATATATGCACACAAAATAGACATGTGCAAGCCAAAGTGATTACATTATCGTGACCAAATAGATTACAAGAAGGCACGCAAAAATTTACGCTCACTGTCAAATGATCCAAGAGACGTGTCGTTAACACAAGCATGGCCTCTTAAAGAGATATAGCAAATATCGAGTAGCTCAGGCCACCTTCTATTCCTTCCTGTTAATATATCCTCTCTATCGTAATGGCTTCCCGAGCTGTAGTATCACTGCTCCTATCCAATCTTAATGTTTTTGAAAATTCGTGTACACATTCAAGCTTCACAACGCATAGTCAAATGCACTTTCCCGTCGCTTATAATTCACTACTCCTCTTTTCTTGCGCCATCGTTCACGCGGCGCCCAGTTTGGCCTACGTAAGATTTCCCACAAGACAGCGGTGTTTCGTAGATCATGCCCGTTACGCATCTTCATACACCGAAGCACGCTTTCTTCCACAACTGCAGGGTTTCTTCTCACCAGAAGAGATTCTGGAACAAATCCCAACCAGATTATGCGCTGCGGAAAAAACCATTGGCATGTCATGCCCACTCGCTATCTATTTCAGGTTGTGGGGTATGGGATGCATATAAGGCATCATTTTTGTACACCTCCTACTATGCTGGCTATGGTCCACAATGTAACGGGCTGCTATTGCCTCGCACAGTAAAGCATTGTTATCACCGTTATGACAGTGCAAGGAGAAACCGGCGGCAAATAAGGCCAAACGGGATGATTAAAATCATCTTGCCTGGCATTTGGGTATGAGTTCGTGAGTTTGGATCGCCGACATGGTTTGCCGATCCCCCTCTTCACAAACTTAGACTGCAAATAATCATAACGCACCAGAACCTTGTGAGATCGCAGATCAGTTAGCCAAGTTTTGGCGCATAATGTTGAGCGCAGAACTTGTAACTAAACATTTTTAACAGGCCATGACCGAGTTTGAGAGTCGGGCAACATTGGTGCACTTGCGAGCCGTGACATAACAAGTAGCTTGCTGCACGCGCGTCTCCATTCTATCGAATGATATTGTCATGTAGTCGGTCGCACGTGCAATTGAGATCTTTTACTTTTGTTATGCTTTTCACTGAAATTCAACAATCTTGCAGCGGCTGGAACTTCCTTAGATGACCGCTGCACTGCATGCAGCGCATTATGTCACACACACTAAGGCAAAATGTTGGTCCGCGGCGGTGGGCGGGGCTTATAGCTGGTGAGGTTTAGAGGTTGTTTTGTATTGACATATTCTCTTAAATTCTAATTTTTGTCTGTTTACGTGCATAATGCACTGCCTACTTGTAGTTTCACTGCAAACCACAGATTGTTGGGTGACAACGTCATAGCGCCTTAAGTGTACTAAAGCCTCATTGTATAATTATTGCACTTACCAATCACCAAAATAGTCACCAGCGCAGTGGCGGATGACGGAGGCACACAGGTGCCGTACACAAGTTCGAGAAAGTAACTGGTGAACGTCAGAGCGTGAAGAGTCGCCCCCATGGGATCAGCCATGAGGAAGCACCAGGAGTACAAGAAACAAATGACATCTCCCGTTCTTCCCAGGGACTCGACAGCAACCTTTAAGTACTCGTATGGGCCACCAGCAGATGGTAGCATCGTGCCGAGTTCAGCGATGCAGAGTCCGTCTGGAAGTACGAAAAAGGTCTGTTAGCACTACAAATTCAGGGGCCCCGGACCTATCGAGGAAAAAGGGGAAGGGGTGGTAAGCGAAGTTAAACGTTTGCGTCCCTTACTTAGTAGTTTACCTTTGTTTATGCGCAGTCGCGCTAAATACGAGTTGCAACACGCTGGCTATTGTGAAAGTGATTTGAGCCTGAATAAAAATGACACCGACAAATGGCAATTTGGTTCAAAAAGAACGGCTACTTAAGAATGTTTAATTCATGAAATTTGTTCTCTATAGGTGTCACTCTGCCGTGTCGGTGCCATTTTCAGTACAGACAGCGTGTTGCAAGCCAATGTACACTGTCGTCCTTTATGAAAGAGAACACGCGAACGCGTAGCCTGCTCTCTTCGGCGGCTGCCTACAGCAACATCCACCGAGAAGTGAAGAAATTATGCTCACTTCTGGCGTCATCTATGGCCAAGCAAGATAACGAGTTATGGCCGGTAGACAAGCGCTGCTAGATTACGTTTCCTCACCGATCACGCGGTGAGCGATAGAGCGATTACTTCAGCTTGCGCCGTGGTCGGGCCAACGTTTGTTATGTTGGCAGTGTTCAACGCACTACAGGCGTGAGCCGAGATGGAGCGCAATCTAGCAGCGCTGCCTACAGGCCATAACTCGTAATTTTTTGGCAATATATGACGCTGAATCGAACGTGTTTTTGTTGTCAGTTGATGGTGCTGTCGGCAGCCGGCGCAGAGCGCAGGCCACGCGTTCGCGTGTTCCCTTTCATAAAGGACGACAGTGTACACTTTAAAAAATCAAGTATCTGTGGATTTTTTGTGCTACACAACAATAATCTTCATCTACTTTGAATACTTTTCTCGCGCTAACACCACGGTTCTGGTAGTTCGTGGCTGCGAACGGCGCGCGCGTTTTCAGTGTGGCATTGCATTCCCGACAGGAAAGTTTCCAGCGCCGGGTCTTCAAGAAAAGAAATGCGAGCAAGTCAGATGACGATAATTGTTGTGTAGCAGAAGTACTCCCCGAATGCACCATTTCTTTCTAAGAGTGTATATCACATTGCGCAATGCTTCCTTATAAGTCTGCCCTCCCTCCAAGCCGGTAGTACAACCTTAACTTACGTCCTTATTATAGCAGCGCAATACGTCAGTTGCTGCTGGCAACAGTGACGGTCATGCTTTCTTATACATAATATTCATGCGTAGGGTTTTACATTCAGAAAGCACGATATAATTATGAGGGATGCCGAGGGCTCCGGGAATTTCGACTAACCGAGTTTCTTTAACGTGCGCTGGCATCCGAAAGGACACATGAGTATAGCATTACGTCTCTGTTGGAATGGAACTCAAGCCCGTGACTTCAGGTGTGCAACCGAGCGCCTCGACTACTATACACCACCACGGCGAACCGCTTTCATATCCAGGCAGCTATGATAAGTGCCAACGTGAAAGAACAAGCCGTGTTAGTAAAACAATGCATTGCGACAACAGAATCAACCGGTAGCTGCTAAGCCCATGACCGAGACAACATCGCTTAATGAAATCGGAACTCGTAAAGACATGCATGACCTCCACACTTCCGAAGGCCGCGTTTCAGTACGCGCGCCGGTGGTGATTTGGCCAGGCCCGGAAACTCGGCACTAGTTTCGGTTTCAAAGAACATGAACGCTCGTAGCGGTTGCCGGGCATCCTAAGTGATGATTGAACAAAGTGAGGTTGATGTGAATGGTCGCATTTATTGGCTGTCACAAGTGTTTACGAATGAAAAATTTGATACCACTGTAAAGAAATTCTCTTTTTCTTTATATGTGTTTTCTTATTCCTGATTTTGTTATTTCAAATCAGGCGAAGTGCGCGAAGTGATTGACTCGAGTTCGTGGCAGTTGCCTCCCCTCCTACTCGCCCCTCGCCCAGCGATATCAGAAGTGATATCGCGCTCAGTTATCTCGCTCGGTTGGCGTGCATGCTAACTACGGGAAAGATGGACAGCAAGTGGTGGCGGGCCGAGAACGGAAGCCACAGTGAGCAACGCCGAACAAGTACTTTTCCTTAATTAGGCCTAAACTTGAGTACGCCTCCATAGTTTGGGATCCCCACACAAAAATTAACGTTCAAAACCTAGAAAGAATTCAAAGAAAAGCAGTACGATTCATATATAGTAAATGTATGTCAACCGACTCCCCCCCTGCTTAACTAACGGCAAATGGTATAGAACTATTACAAATTCGAAGAACAAAAAGTCGGATACAGTTTCTTTCAGACATAGTGAACCATACCCTTAGACACCGCAGCATACGTATCCCCCTTATTAAGCAGACCCACTCGACACCACTATCCTCATTCCCTAACGCCAATCTTCGCAAGGACTGATACTTTTCGGCACTCCTTCTTCCCACAAACAATAGATGATTGGAGCAAACTAACCGAAGCATTTCCTCAGTGCCCTTGACCATTTGTGTAAATGCTGTTCTTCCATGACTTCCTTGAATTGTATTATCACCTTGTTGTTCAACTGTTACTTTTTTTAAGTCATAACCCCTCTGTCTTATAGCAAAGAAATTGTGTAAAAAAGGCTTTGCAACCTTGTTTCATTCTGTTATTTAGTGTGTTTCATGTATGCTCACCCTGCTTGGACTTTTTGTCTGCAGTATTCTATAAATAAATAAAATAAATAGGTGAACCACGCATTTGTCGAAAGTGGCTTAAATGAGCAACAAATATTTTCGGCGGCTCTTCGGTGCGCTAACCCGGTGATTTCAAGATCCGCGAAGGTTTCTCGGCGTTTTCTAAAAGCGACGGGTGAGCACAAGCACTTGGACGCATCATTTGAGCAGGTATTAATTTTGCATGAGTACATGAGTAAACCCAGTTCTCTGCAAGCCTGACTGGGCTGACGGAAGTGCGGTTCCGCTTGTTCAATCGGGGAAGATGGCAGCCCAGCTTTTGTCTGGAAAATGCATTTATTGAAAGGCTTGAATTCAAGTTGGCTTGGCTATATAGTTTTAGGTTCTTTTACTTTTGGCGTGTAGTTCAAATGATTTCAAGTAATTATAGTCTGCTTCCTGGTCATAAAACTTTTGTAGCCACTCTTTGGTTATTTGTGAGTCTTCTAATACTGTCAATCAAATACCCGTGCTGGACTAAATTCTTCCAAATATTATTACATAGATTGTCGGTGGAGCCTACGTTTTGACACGTTGACTTTTCTTGGTCACGGCAGTGGTGTTGCCTTGACAAGGGCAAGTGAATTTGCCGAAACACTGTTTCCAGTGACGTTCTTCGTCGAATAATTACTGATCGCTTCTAGCCTCTCCGTACCTCTGAACTTCAGTCTCGTTTGGTACCCAATGTTTTTAAGAACACTATGTGCGCCGTCATAACAAATGTGATTGAGTGAAACACGACGTGTCCTACGATTGTTGATAATTTTTGCATTGGTTCGGATATTGTAGGTTTCATGTTTGCTCATTATGTATTATGTCAGTTGTGAGTTAAAGCTGATTTTATATATTGAAACTTTCACACTACGTGCGTGTGTTTTTTATACGAAACTTGTAATAAAAAGTTCGTTTTATTTGTGCCTATTTAGTTTCGCTTTATACTAAGGCTCAGTATAAAACGCTTATACAGCTTTAAGCTTAGTCAGCTCAAATTTTGCCTCTTCAGAACACACGAACAAAATTTAAAAAAAAACGATTAACAAAATTTTACGAATGGCTGCTTCGTCCAAGCGTCTATCGGACCTGAAAGAAGGTACGAGTGCATTCCGTTTGCATGCAAAGCGGGAAAGGAGGGCTTCTTCGGCAACCCTACTGCTCTCGATTTTTCGTTTTTCCCCCCTATTTCGGGAAATCACCGGAGACGTCTTGACAGAAATTTTCTATTCGTGATTTACTTCCACTAAGATGCCCGGCAACCACCAGTGGTAAAAGCGGCACTGGTGCTGCGTATCAGCATGTGAGAGCGAATACATGGGAGGCAATGGGAGTTTCCGCCTCCTGATTCGGTCACATACGATGCCACCGAATCCAGTGTTTTGAAGAGCTTCAGAGAAGATTGGTGCTTGAACTGCGGACCCGGTTCGTCATTGCGGCTTTCACATGAGCCGCTGCGCAGTATAGGGGGTGTGAAGAAATGTGTCTGTGTGCACAAGTCTGTATGCACAAGTTCGCCAGATCCAAATAGGCTGTTACTTCTCCCTGTATCTTCTCCCTGGTCTGAAGGTTCGTGCGCTGGTGCCCCATTTCGAAGACTACCTGGCGCAACGCCTGTGGGAAAGAGGGTGGGTTTTGACCTAGACGTTTTTACAAAATTCACTATCCAGGAACTCTGTTGCTGTGATCGTTGAGCCATCATGGGAACCTAGTCGTCGTGCCTGTGGACTTCGAACACACTTGTGACTTACTTTATTGTTCCATTTTGTTTTTTTTTTTTTCGAATAAAGGAACTGACCATTGTGATCGTTAGATTTCTGAGCCTAAAACAATGAAGGTGATGAAGCGTAACTACTGAACCTTCGCGGAACTTCGTATTGCAGCTAAGTAGATTCGGGCCACGCGGAGCCAAATGGAGCCTAAAAAACGAAGTTTAGACAAAGCCTTGTACCACCCATCGTTTCCATGCTTGCTGAAGCGCCACCTGTTGCAGCTGTTACAGACACTAGCGCCAGAGCTCCCTCTATAGTGTATTTATGAGAAACTGTGTGACGTCCGAGCTCCGTCGCCATATGTCCAGCGAGGCTTTCGGCTTCTCATTCTTCGGATGTTCCGTGCATTTTCCGTAGCATTTTTACAGCAGAGCTGTGGGGGTTGAAGTACGCAAAGTGTCGCAAGGAAGGAATCAACAGGAGGGAGAAGGCAGGGAGGTTAACCAGAAAAACATCCGGTTGGCTACCCTTCGCAGGGGTAATGGAGAAGGGGCAAGAAAGATGAGAAAGAGGGAAGAGAAAGAAAAGAAAAAAAAAAGAAGAGACTGACAGTATGATCATAATTGTCATGATCCGCTACGTGCTCAATCACCATTCCAGCACTCGGTACAAATAAAAAAAGCTGCATTGTTTGGCCCAAAATCAGGGATCGCCAATAATATGTACCCCTGTCAGTTTTTTGTGGACCTGCGTGGTGAGAAGTCCAATAGGCCCATTATCTGCGGCAAACGCGGCTACGGGTATTTTTTAGGGCAGAGCTGTTATGGATAAGGTTGGCCTACGGGCAGACAAACAAAGCGATAAATACACTCAAGCAAAAGATATAAAAATTAGAGCAGGCATAGCTTTGTAGAGTGTGAAAGTGGCGATAAGAGAGGTGCGAGGGCATAAGCCTATAGCCAAGCCAAAACCAGCTTGGTACCCAGCAAGTCTGTTGTGCCGCGAGATTGCGTGACTGATGGAATGCCGTGCTAAAGTTTTTTTATATTTTCTTTCTGCATAATTGTGACAAATTGCTGCTTCGTATGTTACATACATGAACCATTGTGCGTGCATGCGCTATTGTCCGTTATCTCTGCACGTATATAGGCTCCTAAACGGGAAAGACTTGTTGCATATTAGTGATGTGGCTCAATCGCCCCTACCTGTCCTCCTTTATTGCTCTGTGCACAATAAAAGCTTGACGCGAATTATGAACGCGACACCACCTAATTTTTTTTCATGAATAGAAGTAAAATAAGGGTAAATGTAGCATGCATACAGCTCAAAATTACCTTAAAATGAGAACAGGAACGAGGCTGTACGCGACGCAGGCAGATATCTCTGCAGTGAAAGAGAGGCAAAGGAGCGTTCCATTGTTTCAATACGCCGTATCGAAAAAAAAAACTAACGTCAAAGAATAATTATCTTATAACTTTTTTATTCGATATTTTCTACTTCGTTTCTTCGCAGACTCGCTTCATTGAATAAGTAACAGTATTAAAATGTATTTTTCTATTGACCACCAGTGTATATTCCATCAGAAACAGCAGCCTCTTTAAGTCCATCACATCGAGAGCGTGTACAAAACCAATCAAAACGTGAAAATTGCGGAACTAAAGACCGCATGAGACGAGGCGCGATCCTACCACACTTGCACATCATAACAAGGAAGCCCTTCAACCCGACGCAGCCTTAGGAGTATTGTTGAACGGACTTACGTACGAGGGAGCCGAATCCTGCCGCCAGCCACACAAGAATATCGGCGCCGACAGATCCCGCACCTCGATAAACGATGTTCGGTGTAATGAAGATTCCAGCACCTAGAGGTATTTTGATAACGTACAAGTTTTTGAAGAGATAAAGGTATACATTCATTACGTAAAGTGCTCACCGACGCAGTTTCCAACGACCACGGCTATGGCGCTGAAGAGACCCATGTCTCTTCGAAGACGACCGTAAGGGGAGGCTGAAATAGAGTAGGCGCATTCAGGCGTTATTGACTGTAGCCGAGCTGGCTGTGATTCGGGGCTTTCGCAAACAAATGATTGAATGAACAGAGCATTTTCAACGTGATTTTCCCCGGACCAGCAATGAAGTAAAAACACAACGTGCCCAACAATCGCTCTCTGGACTCACATTCAATTATCAGCTTCGATATCTATCATGGCATCACTGTCCCTTTCAGGTGTGTTACAAGAGGCCCCATGGTCACTTGGGTAGAGTTTCGCGAGCGCCAACGCCGGGAAGGGAGCATCCACGCAGTGGCAAGGCAAACGGTTGCCAGAAGAAAACAAAACATTTCATTTATAGCTGCTGACCCGCAGGTCACGGGATTGAATCCAGGCTGCGGCGGCTGCATTTTTGACGGATGCGAAAATACTGTAGGCCCGTGTGCTTAGATTTGAGTGCATTCCGTTTTCTTTGCAGTATTCTCTTCTCTCTTTTTTCTTACTTTCGTACTAAAAAGATGTCTGTGGTACCTATTCTGTTGATCTAACTGAGCATTGGTTTTCTGTTCGAATCATTACGTCGCCTCACCAGGTTCTCATTTTTTTCTATTCTTGTTGACTGCGGTATCGGCTTAGAGTATTTGGTCTCCGATCCATTTCGCATTTTTCTCATCTCTGAATAGTACGCCTATTACATAGGCAAATATACTTTGCGACACTTTGGGATAACTGCGAATATCATCGGGATATAAGTTAACGTAATGTTGATATATACAGGCTGTTTCTAGATATACGTGAGAAATCCCAAAAAAAATGAAGAAAATTTATTGTTTACTCACTGTCTTCTCAGCAGCTTTTTTGTGTAGTGGCAAGCATGGCAAGATGGTTGTAGATATCAGTCGAGATAGTAATTAATAAAGCTAAATATTCTAAATTTTAATTAGAGGAGATACGTCGTTGTGTGAAAAAAGAAAATCGATATTCTTGATTCGAAAAAATCGATGCAGCTTTAAGATATAGTAAAAGTGGCCTCTGTTATGCATAGGGGCGTTATGAAATTCACGCGAATTCAGTGATAAAACCTAAACAGAAGCACATATGAGCACAATGAGCAGATGGCTAAATTACGTCACTGTTCAAGACAAATATTACTAAAGAGCAGTTCTTCCTCATTCGTTTGAATATAAGTATCATACGTGTTAATATTGCCGACGTAGCCCACACACCCACTCAAAGAAATCGGTTGAGAGTTTATATAGGTAGGCTCACTGATTCTTAAAATCTTAGGAAATATGGTTACTATGCTCTTCCACGGTTCTGTTGGCGTTCTGCCATTGAATTTGAGTGGATCACGTTACTTTGCAAATATTACTTGAAGCCGCTTTATTGGAGTCTCAAAGCCACAATGAGTTATACCTATGAAGGACTTAAATTCCCCATTTTGACATAATCGCCTCATTCGACCAATTATTAAGGTTAGTTTTTAACTTCAATATTTAGAGTCCCAATGATGTCTTCATTCATCTAAAAATGCCGGCCGCTACAGAAAGGACCACTGTGAATAGAACCAGCAAGTAACACATTTTCTTGATTTTTAGATCATTTAGGACTCCTCTTCGTGAAACACCTGATATGTGGCAGCTGTGAGTGTGCAAAAGAGCTTTCCTTGGAAAGAAGGCATCAAACACTCTATCTACAAGAAATGATCTCCGTCTTTCATAGTTTTGGGCTTAAGTGTAAAATAGGAATTATTCATACGCCCCAGCCCATTTTTCTATAGAACGCAATAATTATTCTACCTTCAAAATGTGGTAAATTGGCTTACGTTCTTGCTTGGCCATCTTCTGGAACGGTGAAAGTGATTCTTTTTTCGCGTTCAGCACATGACTTCTTCAGCTTCTGCACTCAAAATATGACTAGGGTGTCAACCAAAGCCAAGCTGCCGCATAAGTGCATGGTCGTGCTATAGGCTAACCATGCCAGAGCCGTATTGTCGCCTTGTATGGGGTCTGTATATTTACCAGTAGCAACGAGGAGTGCAGGATTATTCAGCTAGTTATTATAAAAATCGCGGTACCACTCAACCACAGATAGCAACTGCGCATTGCAGTCCTGTTGCATCTGTGGTGAAAACGCTCACGTGGCCTCAGTGTGCCATGGTCGTTTAACATACCTTAAACAGCTGCGCGGCGCGATACGAATGCACTGACAAAACAGCACCTAGTATCCGCTCTAACAACAGCTGCACGAGTGTTCGTTCATTTCAGATGCTTCGCATCGTAATATACACGTACGAGAATGTCGAAAGCTGCCTCTAAGTATAAAGGGTTAGCGTGGGATGTCAAACTGGAGAACTAAATTCAATCGCGTCAAGCGGGTAGTTCCGAGCTTTCAGTATAGGTGAATTTCGATGTAGTGTCGTATAGAACACAACGCTCGCGACTCTATATTGTTTGAAACACTGTACGCAATGCTAATGTGCTTGTGTCAAATACATGTTGCTTGTTTTTATGGTTTGTGTCAGCGCTGACACACACACACAGACAAGTCGATGACGGATTAATACACACACGTCACAATCAAACACGAGGATTGCTCAAATAAACAGCAGTTCAATTATTCTTAAACTATATGAAACTGAAGTTGAAAGCTTAGATTCGCAAACAACGTTAAAACACACCAACAGAAGGACAAGGACAAGCTGGTGCTTTGGAGTGACTTTGGTCTGGGCGAGTTCATTCATGACAAAAGGAAGGCATGAGGCAACTGAGAGAAGAAGCAAAGACCCCATCTCTCCACCCAGAGTACTTGTGTGCAGCTGTGTTCTTCGTTCCTTGTATGAGTAGAGCTGTGGCTACGTAATGCTGATGTTTCATTCGCCTCATAAGCAAGTGTGGTTTTCACCAACCAACCAGCACATGTACGCAGCACTTATTGAACTGGGCTGCACAGTAGGGTATCTATTCATTGTGTGGTACTTTGATTACATGTGAATGCACGTATTGTGAATACAGGCGAGAAAGATCCTGTAGTACACCCCGAACGGTGTCCCTTTTGCGTAAACCCGGTTTCCTGATCAATCCGCACTTCTCTTCGAAGGCCATGGTCACGATAACGCAGAATATTGTTCCATGTATAGTTTTAGAACCACATCCACGAATTGTGCTGCCTATCTATCGTAGGGAAAGTCGCACAGCCAGAACACAGAAGCTACAACGTCTCCAGGGTGGACGACAAGTTTATTTATATGCTCATAAGCGGTAAGCGAAAATGTCAAGCAGACGCTCTGGACTACTGCGCATGCTCACACTGTCTTCAACATCGATAACTCGGCAACTTAGCCACATTTGTAATTATGACCCGAGCATCATTCAAAAAAGCTGTCGTTGCTCTACCTGACGGAATGACAGATGGACACAACTCGACATACGTCGTCTCCGCCCGCAGGTGTCCTGCCACGCGTACCTGAATAGACTACTACCAAAGAAGCCAGCTGGAATTCTGAGACCTGAATGAAGCTTATTTGAGGTCTGGTAGGATGCATTATGCATACGATTCAGAAGGGCGATGAACCTATTCCCTTCTTAGCTCGACTTTTACACACTGGCTACTCCTTAGCTAAGGTTCTCTACCCTTACTATTTATTAGCTCGGGTTTTCTACCCTGACGAATTATTAGCTCCAGTTTTCTACCCTGACCACTTCCCAGCTCGGGCTTTATGCCATAATTACTCCTTAGCTCGGGTTTTCTACCCTTACCACTCGTTCGCACGGGTTTCTTACCCTGACCGCTCCTTAGTTTGACTTCTCTACCCTGACCACTCCATTACTCGGGTTTTCTACCTTGACCCCTCCTTTGCTCCTGTTTTCCGCTCTGACTATACCCCTTGTCATCGGTTTTCAGCCCTCACCATTCCTAAGCTTGGGTTTTCTACCCTGACAACTCCTTCGCACGTGTTTTTACTTTGACCGCTCCTTAGCTTGACGTTGCTACCCTGACCCCTCCTTAGCTCGGGTTTTCTACCCTGACCACTCCTTAGCTCCTGTTTTCCACTCTCAACGCTCCTTAGCACCGATTTTCTACCTTGACCAATCATAAGCTTAGGATTTCTACCCTGACCACACTTTAGCTCTGGTTTTCTACCCTGATCACTCCTCAGCTCAAGCTTTATACCGTGACCACTCCTTTGCTCAGGTTTTCTACCCTGACCACTCCGTAGCTCCGGTTTCTACTATGACCACTCCTTCGCTTTGGTTTTTTACCCTGATCACTACTGAGCTTGACTTTTCTACCCTGACCACTCCTTACCTCAGGTTTTCTACCCTGACCACTCCTTAGCTTGGGTTTTCTTTCTTGATCACTTCTTAGCCCAATAGCATGCCAGCCGTACTCTGCCACAACTAGGCTTCAGAAGATATCGAGACGAGCTCAAATGAAGCAATGCGCGTCTCCCCTTTAAGCCGGCTTGGGCTCTGCGTCCGTCAGTCACTAAAGATGCATACTACTAGGGGTCCCTGCCTGTAAGATAGGCTACACTACAAAGCAACACAGACAAAGACTCCTGGACCCCACAACTATCAGACACTTTCATGGATAACTGAAGCTTTCACGTGAAAAATGTTCTCACGTGAAAAATGTCGTCATGGACGCTGCGCAATGCATTCGCATTTCTTCGCGATTCTCTTCAGGGAGGTGTGAGCATTTTCTTGGAAACAAGCGTTCATCAAGCCATCCAGTCAGAATTTGAGTTGTATACATAAACGGCGAATCACTCATTTACCTCTGAACATTACGTTGCAAAATTTTGTTGAATGAAACCAAAATATTGTTACTTTTGCAAATTGTGCCTGCGACCTTTCTTGCAGCAATAAAGAAACTTGAACATGCTTAAGCACGTTTTATGACGTCAACCTAGTCACCAAAAAAAAATTGTGATTGACTACCGAACTTATTTGGAAGATCGGGCGTTCGGCAGATCAAGCCCAGGAGATCCCACGTCCCTAAATCTCGAGCTGAGAGCTGGTCATCCCACACTCCCAGTGATCCGGGGTAGAATCATTTCATTATTACCGTTATCATTTTCTTAAATACGATAGTCTTTCTTGGGGACAGTCTTTCTTGGGGATAGTTTTTTTTGGAGAGAAGGCACACACAAGTAATTGTAAGGAACATAGCGTTAATCAAGCTGCGCTGACAGTGCAACGCCATGCCCGAAAAGGCAAGTGTCACCAACGCTTTGCTAATACGACACGGTGGTGGCACCTGCCCGTCGCTTTGCGTTCTACACTTTATCGCCTCCGAGAATGCCGCGCATCTTTCTCCGAAGGCACGCACGCCTTCCTTCGTTTTCGAAGATAACTGCCAGATGGCGCTCGTGTTTGACGTGCCTCGATGCGCTCGTTCACCTCCCGTACACGCTCGAGGCACTCTAACGTAGCGCCTTCAGAATACCATTCACCAATTTTCCTGTGCAGGACATCAAATAAACGTTTTGTTCACTCTCTCTAGACGCAAGACTGTCGTATTTCGACGACATTTGCAGTGTAACATGCAGATCCAGGACCATTTTTTTAACTTCCCTTGGTTCCTATGACTCAGCACATATTTGTGTTTACATCTCCAAGAAAATAGGACACTGGGAAGCATTTCTGTGTGCCCTTAATCGCTACTACTATAATATCGTACTCGCCTTAGTCAGGCATAAATACGTGCTCTGTCTAAGTCGAAGGCCACAACGCTGTCTCTGTGTTCACCGTGAGTTAGCCGTAGCGAAAGGTAGTCATGATGTAAAAGTGTGAACAATCTGCTAACTTGCAAGAAAAAAGCCGCGGCATAAGTTGGCATACAAACAAATACATTATCCCAACAGATACTGAAGGTAAATACAAATTAGTCTCGCATGTTGGTTCTGAACGATACCTCACACTTAAGGGGGCGAATGCTCCATGCTTTGTATGACCTTTATCTCACAAGCGGATTAGTACCTGACACATAAATAACCTTTGTGACAAGAAAGGCATTGCATACCTGCGCACAGGTGAACACAAAAGTAATTCTTACCCATCCATGCTTGCGAGGTGCGCTTGACAAGCGTAAGTGTTGACGAGCAGTGGGGCCCTGTGTTCCGTATTGGATGCAAAGGCACAAGGTACCCGAGCGGTGGTGCACTGTTCCATCTAATACCAGCGGTTTTTTTTTGTTGTTGTTCTCACTAAGTAAATTTTTATTTTCTTCATATTCACGACCACTCAAGATGTGGGACAAAACTGCTTAGTCGCACTACTTTTGTCAACATGAAAATACGCTGTGTCATCAGTTTAGCAATAAAAAAATTAAACTTAAATAATTAAAATATCACCAATCGTTCAGATGTGTTGAGCCTGCAAAATACTACACGTAGCGGGAGAACTTCTCCTGTGGGAATCGGTAGGGTGGTTTTACAGCACGAGATATGACACCAAGCTACTAACCCTCCACCTTAGTAACGTATTTTGCGTACTTTTGCAGTTCCTAATGCATCCAGGACACTATATTTATGGTGTCATTAATTGTTAACTCATTAAAACTATAAAGATGCATTTCCTAGATTGAGGAATTGAAAGAAGGAAATTGAACGGCCCTGCCATTTTTTTTCATTCCGAGGAATGAAAAGAAATGGAATTCCGCAAGTCTTAATTCCTCGAAATCGAATTGGAATGGAATGGAAGTGCTCCTTCCACAACACTGGGGCCAAACCCTAGAATGATTCCAGGTGCCATTCTGGGGGGACACTGGACCACCTGCGCCTTTACTCAGGGGACAGTGAGCAGTCCCTGATGAGGTTCTTCAGTTTCCCCCGGGTGTTTCAGTGGCTGCAGATGTCAATATTCGAATTCCCAGGCCACGACGTACTTCATTTAGTTGAGAACACTGCAGGAGGAATGAGTTAGGTAGTGATCAGGTCAGCACTTGCCACAGTAATACTTGTTCCCGGTTAGTACAAGTGTTCAAAGAAGTGAGAAGTATGTCCACTGGATTGAATATTTCCAGGTTTATAAGTGCACCGGTAGTGTTATCCTTGGAATGGGGCTTCCCGTTATTCTGGTG